CCAGTCGGAACAACAAGATATATGAAAAGATGTTTTGAATAAAATTTGTATAGTTTTTTACATGTGACGAATTCTTCAGAAATCGTGAAATTTTCTAACAATTCAATGTAATTTTAAAGCAAAATTTTTTTTTAAATTTATTTTTTAAAGATATCAATCTTATACAATAATTTTATTATATAATAAAAGAATGAATTTGGAATAAAATTGTTTTTAATTTTTATTCATGGAAATAAAATAAAATAATAAGGGTTAATATGTATTTGTGTGTGTGTGTGTGTGTGTGTGTGTGTGTGTGTGTATCTTAAAAATATGTATTTACAAAATCTAAATATAAAATCTAAATATAACTAAAACACACACACACACACACACACACACACACACACACACACGTGTAAAAAACTATACAAATTTTACTTAAGAGATCTTTTCATATATCTTATTCCAATGATAATTACTTACATATAATGAGCATGGATAGCGTATATACGGAAGGATTAATAATTAATTTTCAAAAATGATATGCCGTAATGTATTTTATTACACATGGTCGAATTTGTAAAAAATAGTCTTTATTTTGATTTTAAATTTTGATTTTAAAAAAATTAAAAATTTAAGAAAATTATGAGTGGTGGGGATATTTTGTTAAACAAAAAAATAAAATTTTTTTCTTTATAAGTTTGAAGTACTCTTGAAATCGTACAACTTTTGTTTAAAAAATTTTTTTCTATCTTTTATACTTCCGACGATATTCGGCTCGAAAAAAAAGTACCATTTTTTTTTCAAAGAGTGTTTTACCTCTTAAATATGATTTAGAGCATATATATAAAAATACGTTTCTCTTAGATTTTTATTTTACAACATATTTCATAGAGAATTAAATCGGTTCTGGACAGTTGTAAAACTTCCCTTGTTAATAGACATATACAGGGTGGTCCGCACAATTTTTCAGACACTTTCGACAGTTAAAAAAAAGATTGAAGGGTGAGTATTCATCTGTTTTACGTAGGCTACAACATGCGATAAAAAAATTTTTTTTAATTTTCTTTTTTATAAGGAAATGAAATTTATCTTAAATTTTTTAAATAGCATCATACATCATTTTTTTTCATGATATTGTAGGAGTCTATAAGATGAATTCAAATCATTGTCGAAATGTCACTTTTATTGATTTTATTGCATATTTTATTAAATAAGTACATGTATGTATGTGTGTGTGTGTATGTTATGCATTATATTCAGAGATTTTAAATATTGCTCTTATAAATAATATTACAAATTTGATATTAAACATCAATAAAATCAATAGAACATTAATAAAAATGACATTTCGATAATGATTTGAATTTGTTTTGAAGGCTCCTACAAATCATGAAAAAAATAATACGGTGTTATTTAGAAAATTTAAGATAGCTTTGATTTTTTATAAAAAAAATTTTTTTTAATTTTTTTATTGCATATTGTAAAACAAAACATATTGTAAAAATAAATATACATCTTCTAATTTTCTTTTTAACTGTCGGAAGTATCTGAAAAATCGTTCGAACCATTACGCTAAACATTCTGTATATGATTTATTATATGGTTTTTTGAGGGAACTATCCATAATTTTGATTTGAAAATCCCAGCAATCTAAAGGTTAATCAATTTTTTAAATTTAAACTTGCAAAATAATTACGATTGAAATAATATATAAAACATAATATTGATATATTAATACAATATTTTTGTAGAGTTATATAAAGTCATTTTGATGAAGTTGACGCTAAAAATAACGATATAAAACAATTAAAAAAAATCCGCGATAGATAACTCGCGAAATGCATAATTTCTGTAGAAATTAATAGAAAGTGCTCATGAAAGTCTCAAGAGTATTATTAAATAAAGATAAGGTAAAACTTCAATCTTTTTTTTCTTAATTCTACTACCAATGGCAATATAAGATAATTTAGTGCTACTAATATCTTAATTATCGTATCATAGTTGCTTGGTTAAAGTGCGAATTATTATCTGGGAGGATAGGAATGAATCCTCCTCCAATTACATTTACCGTTATTGCCGTTTTATTATCGATTTTCTCATGTCGGATGTTAAAATCGTAAAATTATTCTTTTGCATAAAGATTTTCTTTTTTTTTTTCTTATAAAAATTGATCAGTGCGCGAATATAAAAAATTATTACCGTAAAATGTGAATTTTCTTTTTTATCCGATATCTAATTCAAACTTACTTAATTTAGTAGTCGTCATTAATGAAGAATTAGATATCTTGTCTAGAAAAATCCTAGATGCTTATCAATATTTCCGAGAACGATCATGATTTCGAGGATTAACTTGGAGAGAAAGTGACTGGAATGAGAGCAAGTTTGTGGTGAATCGAAAGAGCTAAAAACTTTCTAAACCAGTATTCTTCGCGGATATGTAGATTGAGTGTAAGAATGTAATATTCGAACAAGGATGTAACGAACAAGCAATTTCGCTAAAATAAGTTCCTCTTTGTGAACTGATCTCGAAGGTGAGTGGAACGTGAGAGCAAAGCCACAACCGAGAATTCCTTATATAGTATCTCGATTTGTATGCGTATGTTATATATAAATTAAGAGAGAGAAAGAGAGGGGGGAGGGAGAGAGAGAGAAAGAGAGAGAGAGAGAGAGAGAGAGAGAGAGATAGTGCGTTTATTGATGTTCTAGGGTATATCACTCTAAAAACAGTTACAGTGAATTAGAGCAAAATATAAATGTGCGCAGAAAGAATAACTCAAATAGAGATAACTAAATTAAAATAAAATAAAATAAAATAAAATAAAATAATATACAAGAAGGGCAAAAAGCCAATAACGTATAAAAGAAATTTAATTTAAATAAGCAAAATTAATACAAAACAATTATAATAAACAAACTCCAATCAAGTCATTTTCAAAAAATGTAATCTTAAAATATATAAACATCGTTCTAAATTAAAAATATGCTCATGGTCTTACAATATTATTATAAATCCTTAATATCAAATTTATCATTTTGTGTAGTACGCTGCGAGTCATTTTTATTAAGAATTAACAGAGTCATAAGAAAATTCTGGAAAAGCAACTGTGAACAAAAAGAATCAATATTAGTTATATAAAAATTAGTAATATTAATTGCAGATATCGTTATGCAGGACTTTGAAAAAATGGCTATCGGAATGCTGCCTTGTCAACTGCTATTTTATTATTGATACGTTGATGATATTATCTTAGCTGCTGCGTCTGAAAGTGTTGGTGATGTTTTGGATATTTTTAATTCGTTGCACACTAAACTGCAGTTCACTATGGAGGTTGGCATTGATGGAAAAATAAATTTTTTAGATACTATGTTGATTATTGAAGAATGAAATCTTATTTTTGATATATACCGTAAAGTAACCTTTTCCGGTAGATTTCTTAATTTCCATTCACACCATCCACTTTGTCATAAAAGAGGTGTAATTTATGGAGTTGTGGACAAGGTTTTTTATTTGTGTCATCCGAAATTCCAACGAAATAATTTGATTGATGCTATTGAGATTTTTTTACAGAATGGATATCCGTTACGTTTTATTTTTTCGACTATTCATAACAGAATTAAATATCACATTAACATAAGATTAATAATTTGAATAAGAACAAGGATGACACGGAGAGATTTTTTAAGATTCCATATGTCAATACGATATCCAAAAGATTTATATTTATTGTTAACATGTTTAATTGTAAATTGACTTTTACCATTCCTAATACATTAAGAAGTTTCATAAAGAGAGGAAAGGATGATTTGGAACACGTTCAGAATCAAAATGTGGTCTACAAAATATCTTGCGAGGATTGTGATGTCAGTTATGTTGGTCGAACTAAAAAACAATTAAAGACCAGATTGCATGAACATGTTTCTGATATCAATATAAGTTCAAAATCTCCATCAGTGATTTCCAACCATCGTATTGAGGAGAATCATAACTTTAAATGGAATAAAGTGGACATATTACAATAGATATGGAACCTTCATATAATAAAAAGTTGATATCTGAAATGGTTCATAAAAAACAGAAACATGGAATAAATAGACAAAATGACACGGAATCTTTGCCGGAATTTTTATACATTCTCTTTCTCCTTCCTAATATCTTTTCTCTTTTTTCCCCCCTATTTTGCTGTTTTCCATTCTCGATAATGTTTTTATGTTTGACATTTCGTTATTTGACATCGTGCAAGTCAGATGCAAGATTACATTGAAAATGACTCGATTGCAGTTGAAACGTTTGTTTATTATAATTGTTTTGTATTAATTTTGCTTATTTAAATTAAATTTCTTTATACGTTATTGGCTCTTTGCCCTTCTTATATACTACTTTTTGTTATAAGTACAGACCTTTTTTAATATATTTTTTAATAAAATAAAATAATATAATATAATAACGCAGAGATTGACGTAGAGATGATACAAAAATAGAGAGAAAGAGAGAGAGAGAGAGAGAAAGAGAGAGAGAGAGAGAGAGAAAAGCTATGTCGCGTAAATTGCCGCATATACTCGCATTCACGTTTGAGTCTTTCGAGTTACCAGAACTGGTCGAAATAATTGCCTGCATATCTTGTTTGTGCAATCAGATATCCTTGAATTCGTAGCGTGGCCGTGTAGTTGCAAGGGTTTTATTTTATACGTTTACTTTTTCGATGTCTATAGAGGTGTAGTCTTTACGAAGAGCTATTTATCATCGGTGGTCTCCATAATTTAAGTGTATGTCTTTTCGTTTTTGTTTCTCTCGATTCGCCAGTCAAATCAGTGTCTGATACTGACACATTTCCGTATTGAATGAACTTTCACTTTGAGTTGCTCCTTAATCGGAATGTAGTAATCGTAATCTAATATAATAAAGTTCTTTCGTGCTTTATTGTTGCTCGTTGTTTGAAGCGAATGGTAGAAAGGGAACGGAATTGCGATGGATCGTTTTTTCGCGGCATGGTAAAATATTTCTCTTATGTACGCAGGTGGTAGCACTTTCGAGAAGCACGATCATTACAACGGTTCATTGCTGCATTTCTATCGTGTCGAGAGGCGGCAAATGGGGGCGTATCTCTGCATCGCTAGCAACGACGTGCCGCCAGCGGTTAGCAAACGGGTGACGCTCGCTGTGAATTGTAAGCTCCATTCGCACAATCCGTTCTTCAATCCAATCTGATTCACAAAATACGATTGTGAAAAGTAATTTGCTAATATTTTTCATATAGTCAAGACGCGTTATCGCGATTTGAAAGAGAAAACAGTTAAGAGAAGCTTCGAAAATGAGATAAACTTGCAAAAAGAAGAAAATGAAAATTTGATTTATTTCACGAATACAGTAATTTAACAAAAATGGAACTCCTTATTTTTCTCTATACAATTTTTAAAATAGGTTCGAATACTTATTTTGGATATAATATTTATTTCAAAAGCTACTTTTTTGCGCCGCGAAAACACGTGCTTAAGCTTCAATTATGCAAATAAAAGAAAAATTTGCCAAAAAAAAACTTGATTTCGACGTGCATATTCAGAAAAGAATTAAATTTTCATTTCCTTCTTAAAACGAGCTCTATCTTTGAGACTTCCTTCGTACGTACATTTATGAAAAGCTTCTTCCTAAACTCATTTTATTTCCATAGTCGCACCCGTCGTAAAAGCGCCTAACCAGTTATTGGGCGCTCCTTTGGGTACAGACGTGCAGCTCGAATGCTACGTCGAAGCGTTTCCGAATACGATCAATTATTGGGTAAAGAATCAACGAGGCACGGAAGACGAAATGTTATTGGAAGGGTGAGTTCTCATTCGTCATTTTCTTAAATAATAAATAATAAATATAGTTTAAGATATCAAGTACTATATGGAACCGAATATATTATTACAATATTGCTAGAATGTTTTGTGTTCTATGGGATAACTATAAAACTATGCTCAGTTTTTTGTGCAAATTAAGATCCCGGGTTTTTGAGATATAGCTAATGGATTTGATTGTAAGGTATTCAAAAAAGATTAAAAAATTTCATAGACACAACCTTTACATCTTATAGTGATTCCTTATAATGATTCTCCTAAGTGTTAGAGCTGTCCAAAGTTTGCTATTATACGTGGTGTGACGATAAAGTTCGGTGAATTTTATGAAAAAATAGACACAACTTAATTAATATACAAATGACCCTTATTGGTCTTCAAAGTAATTCTCTCTTAAAGATAATACATTTTTGACAACGTTTATTCAATTTGTGAAAACTCAATAAAAGTACATTTTTGAATATCATCTTAAGTTTTGTTATCATTTCTAATCATTTCTAATCATTTCTAAGTAGAAGGAATAGTGTGCAGAATAATAACATCATAAAGACATCATGATCTTATTTATTCATTTTTAAGTACCAAATTATTATGACCTATAATACAGGGCCGACAAAATTTAGAGGAGAAGGGAGTCTTGTGCTTTGAATTTTGAAAAATGTTTCTGTAGGATTTTGATGCGCTGAAAACGACTACGTTGTCCGTTTTTTTCTATCACCCTCCATTTGTTAAATAATCGCAAAAACAGTTTTCTTCGGAAGTATTAGGTGTTGGAATTAATTCGTAGCGTTTTTAATGAAAGAATGTTATTTATTTCACATGAGCATTAAAAAATACATTAATGAAAGTACTTCCCATCACTTGTAAAACGCTACGAATTAATTCCAACACCTAATAACTTCTTTATTAATTTTTTGCGACTAAACAAAAAATTATATTGAGGTCTGTTTTGCGGCATTTAACTTAGAAATGTTCCAACTAAAAATATTTTGTCAATGCTTATAAAAATATTCTATGCAAATCGCGAACAAAAAACTTTGGAAAAATTGTAAAAAAAAACCCGGAAATTGACAAATTTTGAAATATAAAACCAAATAATTCGAAAGAAAAAAATCATAAAAAATATTTGACAATTTATACTTATAGCTGTTTTTAAATTGTTTTTTGAAAAACTAATTTCTGACCATTTGTTCAGAAGTTATTGAATTTAAAACACTAAAGCAGCTCGCGCGTTACTTACAGTGCGTGATGTTCTTTCGAATCTGACCACCGAATACAGGAGTATGTTGTTTAGTCTTTTTAGTCACTGATTTCTAATCTGAAATAAAAAATGTGCAATTCAAAATGGCGAATCCAATATTTAGAGGACAAGAATTTTAAAAAATTCATACATAAAAATTGATATTTGGTGATTTTGTAAGTCTCTGATTACTTATATTGTAATCACAATTGTTGAATTGAAAATAGCAGATCCTTTGGCGATGAATAATAAGTACATTTAATGATAATTTTATCCGTTATCCATCCTGTATCACGTGGAGGTATCATCTTATTATAATAAATTCGTAGATAATCAAAGTAATAATTTCCATACAATCGCAAAGATTAAGCAAGTACGCTAATCGCGATATAGCTTCGGATGGGTGATCGCTTGAAAGCATCATAAAATTAATTTATTAATTCAGGGAAAAATATTTTTTGTTACACACCAATAGTTATACTATTCGCTAAATTACAGTTGACTAATAGTTACTATTGTTCAATAGTATCATTGATTTCCAATCATATTTTTTTATAACGAATGTGTATACGTATGCACATAACGGACATTCAGAGTGATAAACACAGCAATAATCGTGTATAACAATGGGTGCTCGATCTTGTAAGAGAAGCTGGAATGTTAAATAAAAACAAATATATTCATATTTGAGTGAGATGGAACGATAATGTAAGCCACTGAATTAAAGATATCGATATTTGATATTTGGAATTAAAAAGTCTGTACTATTGACTGTATCGATCAAATTCGATCATTGCTCCAACAGCCTTTTAATTCAAAGATGATTTTTACCAAAGACGGACTTAAAAATTGTCATTCAGATCTTTTCAAACCTTGTAGGAGTAACGTTTTTGTGATTCTTTTCTATGCTATTCGTGGATTAAACAAGAACGAACAAAATAAAGAGATCAATGAGATTTGGTACATGAAAAAGACCGGAATGTCCACTCTCAGATTTCTCTCTACTTTTACAAAGTTTTCGCAAGCGAAATGAACGTTGTTAGAAGTGTATTGTCTCTAGGAGAGATTACCTTGTAGAACAATAAATTTGTCTTACAAATTTATTGTATATTAATTATATTTATATTAATTAAGTGATGTTTATTTTCTTATAACATTTATCGAAACTTTTTGTCATGCCATTGTACCATGTATCAATCTTATTTGATTTCTCTGCATTCCTCCCGATGACGGTGGGTGTATATACATGTATATATATATATATATATATATATGTGTGTGTGTGTGTGTGTATATGTGTGTATATATACAGGGTGCGTCATCAAAATCCGGACAAATCGAACAATTCTTTGTCGTGGCAGCCTCAGAGAGCCTCTTTAATGTGTACGATTTGTATCGAAGGTCCTCCTCGG